ACACAGGTGAGTTCACACACAGGTAACATTATGATGACTCAGCCGGTGCTCACAGACCTGATGATGTTCTCGTCCTCGCTGTCCGAGTAGCTGCATCCAACGGTCTTCAGTTCCATCATTTCCTTCTCGTCCGCCGCACTGCCATCGGCGCCGGCGCCCTCCGCTGCTGTCACCGCCGCCACATTGGCCAGCATCACCAGCTGAGGGGCGGGCAGCGTGTTCCTGGGCATATCGCTGAGACTCTGACCGTCCTCCATCATCGACACGCCGACAGGAAACATCTCCACCGAGAACATCGTCTGAGCCGCCATGTTGATTCAGCTCTTCACTGCGGGACGCTGTCGACAACACGAGGATAGTTATTAAAATAAGCTCGTTAATAATGAATTAGAAATTACATCGACAATAAACAGTCACATATTTCATAAAGAAGATCAGTTATAGTCTTAAAACTTGGATTTTACTGTGATTTATTTATTAGTCTAAAAGCTGGAACTGCACCACAGTACGTCGTTGGGTCATAGTTCACCTTTATAACGACTGACAGACACTTTTTACAGTCACTCAGTGAGTGAACAGTCATCACATTAACTGAGTGAGTGTAAAATAAATGTGTTCATAGTGAGAGTGTAAACAACCCACACATGGATCAGAGTCTGGAAGGGCTCAGTTTAATTACACTCTTTAGAAAGTGTGAAATATTCTGCAGTAAACTTACTGAAACAACTCATTAATTATATATTCATTATATAGTTATGTGACATCACACACTCTCACTCAAAGTCTGTCGGCCATTTTGAAACAGCACCACAGCTCAGTCGACAGCGCCATAAGAGACAAACACATTCAGAACTCCGTCTGGAAAACACCAACTTTAACTGCTCACACTGACAATGAACCACTGCTCGCTGCAAAGTGAGAAACAACACATATGACAATAGTTTGATCACCAAAAGCTACAAGATACAAACTGAGTTTTTACTGAGAACATAAAGTGACAAATACACTCGGATCAGCCTGATCCAACCGCCTGTCGACGGTTTCCGATCAAACCTTAAACACCGTGAAACTTCAATAGCAGTTTGGTGAGAGGAAGCGAAAAGTACAAGGTCAACAGTAAAGTTGTTTCTGAGCTAAAACCTGGTGATTATTTAAATCCAAAGTGAGTTAAAGATTAAAAAGCTCAAGTTTGATCATTTCTGAGCATTAAAACGTCAACTTTTTTCTACTTAACTGTGATTTAAAAGTGTGATGGTGCTTTCTAATGAAATGTGTTTAGACTGAATTAACCTACTACGAGTTTGTGTTTATAGGTTCAGTAAAGTAATAAATAAGGTAATAAATGTCAGTATTTGTTCTATAAAGCGCTGGAAGACATTTCTGGGGGTGTTACAGAAAAGTTGGTTTGCGGAAGCGCAGAAATCAAACAGCGACATTTTGACTGAGAAGTGTGGAGTTACTGTAAAGTATTAAAGGAGGTGTTTCTGGAGCTGTGTCAGGGTGAAGTGAAAGTGTAAGGGCGGACGGAGGTGTTGAGGGTCGGTTGTCTGTGTGGGAGTGTTAGCCATGGTCCTGATCAGCCCCGGACAGCGCCTTCTTCTTCACCAACTCACCGCCTCCATTTTCCTACAAACTGCCACAACTTTCCAGCTGCAGCCGCGACCGACAACCGGCCGCCATTTTACAGCCAAACCCCGCCGAACTCACCGACTCTTCGGGTCCAAACTTCGCTCCACTTTCTGTCACTTTTTTCCTCCGTTGGGACTTTTTTCTTCGACGAACAGCGCAGAAAGAAAAGTCCACAAGTTTCCGCACATTCCTCCACAGCCACTGACGCACGGCCGCTGACGTCAGCACGTCGCCCGGCGGCCTGCCTCAGGAGGAAGTAAATAAAACTATTAAATTAAATTAAATAAAAACTGTTATTGAGACGTGACAACTTATTATAACTTTCATGTAATTCTTAAAACTTTTTTACTTTTTACCTCACAATTAAAACTTTTTATTTCTATTTTTTTAATTATTTTTTTACTGGCAGAAATGTAAAACCTTGAAATGATGAGTTATCTCTACACTGTCACTGGTTCCCAACTTGTTCTATCAGTGAGGAAACTGACTGTTTACTGTATGGTTCATATTGATCAGTATCAATAACAGCAGAGAACAGCTGATCAACTGATCAATGAGCCCAAACAGTGAACTCAATAACTGCAGGAAGTTTGATTATTTCCTGTCAATATTGATCAGATCAATCAATAAAAGTGATTCTGGCACTCAGAATATGTTTATAGTTTGCTGTACCTGCACCTGTAAAAAACATAAACAACCACAAACAATCATAAACAACCACAAAAAACCACAAACAATCATAAACAACCACAAACAATCATAGACAACCACAAACAATCATAAACAACCACAAACAATCGTAAACAACCACAAACAACCACAAACAATCGTAAACAACCACAAACAACCACAAACAATCATAAACAACCACAAACAATCATAGACAACCACAAACAATCATAAACAATCACAAACAATCCTAAACAACCACAAACAATCATAAACAACCACAAACAATCGTAAACAACCATAAACAACCACAAACAATCATAAACAACCACAAACAATCATAAACAACTACAAACAATTGTAAACAACCACAAACAATCGTAAACAACCATAAACAACCACAAACAATCATAAACAACTACAAACAATCGTAAACAACCACAAACAACCATAAACAATCATAAACAACCACAAATAATCATAAACAACCACAAACAATCATAAACAATCATAAACAACAATGAAAAATCATTAAACGTGTTCATGTCACAGACCCACTATAGATTACTTGAAGATCATAAAGTCTTCATAGTTTTAGTTCTTCACATTTTATTGATCTTAAGAACTTCCTAAAAGTATCAGCTGTGAAATCCATTAATGTGATTAGCATATAAAGATTAGTAAAGCTATTTCACATCATATAAAAAGGTTATAAATTATAATTATGATTCATCATTAAACAACAAGAAAGTCTGTAGTTCCTTTATTCCACACAATCAATCAATCAGTCAAT